GCTGGGACATGGGCACCTTTGGGAAGTTGTTAATCTGCCTTTGCCCACCATCCCATTGGATTCTTTTTTGTGGATTTCACTTCTCCATTGAATTACTTTAAAAAATACTTTAACATGCTAATCACAATTATTTTAACAACAGTGTTAACCATCTCTGATATCTGGGTCATCTGTGGGTCTGAGTCTGATTTCTGTTTGTTCCCTTTGTCCTGTCTCATATGCATATGCTTCCTTTCTGTTGAAAGCTGAACAATGCACATTAAAGTTCCTGAGACTCTGGTTGCTGCTGCCTTCCTCTGTGGAGAGTTCTGTATCCCTGTATCCTCTTTTAGATAAATGGAGCCTACAGATCACTTTAATCCAAACATCAACTGAGATGTTCAAAGAATGAGCTGCCATTTCTTTAAAGCTCAGGCTACATCTATTTCACCTCTACTCTTAGAATATAGCAAGCTGAGATCCCAACTGAGACAGCAGGGTGCTTCCCGCACTCCTGCTGCATGGAAATCCCTCCTGCTGTGCCCTCCCTGATCACTGCCTCCTGTCCAAACCTCCCGCATAACAACTTCCTCTCTGGGTAGTCTCACTTTCTTCTGCTTTGAGATCCAACTGAGAACGCCACCACCCCTGTGTCCCTGTCCATTTGAAACAATTTGACTCACATGCCTGCAACACAGGCCTGGGATTCAGACCAGTATTCCTTGATACTCGTGTTACTTTCTTCATAACTCAAAACCCCCAGTAGATGATGTGATATCATCTGCTGTCATCCTCTGAGAGCCTGGTCGCCTCCCATGTTTGTTAAAGACATGAACCCACCTTCCCACCTTGGCCTCATGTCTGCCTTCATCATCCTCCCTGACATCAGTGTCCCTGAGGACTGGCCTCTGCTCTCCCCACCACCTGCCATGTCTTCCTTACCCCTATCCCCTCCTACATCGTATCCTGGGCAATCTTGTCTTCAGAACTGCAAGAGCCTCACAGCCTCAGCTCACCACCAGTCTCCCCATGTCCTTCTTGTAATGCCCCCATTTCATCATCTTTGTGGCCAAAATCAAGCTGTGTTCATTTTGGTGTGGAATCAATTGACCACCAACCACCTTTTCCAGATCTGTCTCTCCCTTATGTCCTGGCTTCGCCCTTTGCTTCAGTTAGACTTCAGGACCATCATTAGAAACCCTGTAATGAGTCCCTGCCCCACCTCCCACTTCCTCAGACCCATTAAAGCCCCTTTCTCCTTCTGCCCTGCCCCTCCCCAGCTACTCAATGTGCTCACAGTGGCACACTCCACTGCGCTGGCTGGACTCACAACGAGCCCTCAAACAGGCAGGCGAAACCCCCAGCAATCCTAATGTATTTGTTAAATGCTTCCCTCTCCTTTGTGCAGAAAAGCTATTCACACCCTCCCCTACCTCCTCAGCCCGACAACACCTCACCCTTCCTGAGAAAACAGCAGCTGCCTCCCTTTTCACCCCCACACCCACCTGATTGAGTCTCCTGTGCTCACCCTGGCAGCCTCACCTTTTATATCCCAGGGAGCTACCCCCTTTTCATGAAAGATCCTCTCCTCCCTTGCAGTTCCAGTGATAAAGCTGTGCATGGCTATCCAGCTGGCCCAGCCCAACAGAGATCCATGGTTCCTCACTTGCCTCCACCTTCTCTGTCTTTCTCCCCTCACCATCATGTCCAGCATCAGCAGGTCCTGGTGCTCTTTCCCTGAAAATATCCCAAGTCAGTTTCCTTTTGTCTATCTCAGCTGCCAGAGCCTGGCCCCACCATCATCCTCTCCCTACTGGACAGGTGTTACTGCCTTCCAAGTAGGGTCTCAGCCTCTATTCTTGGAGGTAGACCTACAGGTAAAGCACACACAAGGGAAGGAGCCTGGTCTGGTATCCAGCAGCTCACATCAAAACGGCGCTGTGAGGTTGCCTATTCCATGTTCTGGCTGTGGCTTGTGAAGGCAGCAAGAATCCCAGCTGCCCCACCAAGCTGTCTTGAGCCGAGACAGACTTGCAGAAAATTGGGCCAATCCAGGTTGGCCTGAAGTCAAGTTGGAACATGAACAGGAAGTGACAAAAGCTTCCCTGGAATTAAATGCTATTTAGATTGTGTTTCCAGTGCCAGGAAAGAGCTGGCTTCAAGATGGAGCAGAGAGTCATTTTTACCAAATAAATGATGGGAATGTCATCCCCTGGGACAGTTAGAAAATCTCCTTGGCATCTGGTTTTAATTATAATATCTGCTCACTATCATTCCCAAGACAGTATCTCTCAAAATTCCAAGATATAATTTCTATTCTTTCATTGAACAAATATTTGCTAAATGCTTACATCCTAACAGACACTATACAAAGTACTTAGGAAACAAGGAGGCATTAGACATGTGCGAAAAAGAAGCTGTGTGCAGGAGAAGACCTTGTGCCACGTACTGCCAAGGGAATCGTGGAATCCCTTGCCGAGGACCCCTCTCCTGGCACCTCCAACTCCACGCTGAGTCCTCCAGGAGGATAGCCACCATTTCTTCCTCCCCAACCAGTCATTGGTCTGTGCCATTCCCATATCAGGCTGCAGGTTGATGGGAGGCTTCTTAGGGAACCAAGGAAAAGGTGAATAGGCACTGGCCCCAGCCTGAGCCTCACAACCCCACAGAGTCACAACCTCCCTGGCTGGGGAGCCTGTAGGTATACACTGAACTTCACCATGGTCTCCCAGGAATTGAAGCCAGTGTTTTTCAAAGAGGATTCCACACAGGCATTATTCCTGCAAAATGACCTAATGGGGAGAAAATACAGGTATCTGAGAGTGAAGGAAGAGAGAAAGAGGAAGCTTCATGTCTCAGCAACTGATACACAACGTCTTCATTCAATGACCCATTGGACTTCCTAGGAGTTATTTATTAGAATTAAGTGGCTGAGCTGGGTGTGGTGACTCACGCCTGTAATCCCAGCACTTTGCAAGGCTGAGGTGGGTGGATCACCTGAGGTCAGGAGTTTGAGACCAGCCTGGCCAACATGGGGAAACCCTGTCTCTACTAAAAATACAAAATCAGTCAGGCGTGACGGTGCGCACCTGTAATCCCAGTTACTCGGGAGGCTGAGGCAGGAGAACTGCTTGAACTCAGGAGGGGGAGGTTGAAGTGAGCTGAGATGGCACCATTGCACTCCAGCCTGGGCAACAAGAGCGAAACTGCGTCTCAAAACAAACAAACAACAAACAAACAAAGAAGCAAACAACAACAACAAAGAATAAAGTGGCTGAGACTGTTAGCAACTCTTTGCTTTAAGCCTCCATTTTCCACACTCACGTGGTTGTGGGGGCTTCCAGGCCTCCTCTGCTGGCCTCTCCCGGGGCTCTCACCTGATGCACCTGTGAGGCAACCTGGAAAGGTACCTGCATATTGGAAACCAAATGGAGAAGACGACTGTGGAAATAAAGTTGAAAGGGCAATTTGAGGAGGACATCCTCAATCAAGCCGGAAGAGATTTGTAGCAATGTCATCAGTTGCAAACACACTACCCTTGGTTGGACTCAGACCAGGGACCAGGTCGCCTGAGTCTCCCTATGCCCAGTGAGCCACATGTGTGTGTGAGGAGCGGGTGTGCCGTGCTACTTAGAATCCACACAGGTAGACAGAGCGCTGAACTTGCCTATCACTTGCTGGGACAGTTCCAGCTCACATGAGAGGAGAGAGTAAAGGCTGGACACTCTGAGGTAAAATATGCGCTGAGCCAGGCGTAGGGGAGGGAGCTGGCGTCAGCCACCTTTATCCATGCGTGCACTGACCATGCAGCAAGGCTTCCGTCCGTTGGATCTAGTCCTCATGACAGCCCTGTGAAGTCCTCAAGAAGCCCTCAACTGTAGAGATCTCGGATTTAGGAATTAGGAATATAGGATTCAGAGAGGTCTAGCCACTTCACTAAGGTCACATCAGAAGCAGCTGGGAGCCAGGGTTTGCCTGACTCCTAACCAGGTCTCTCTTCTGCAAGCTGCAACCAAGGTGGGAGAGGAGGGGGCAATAAGGTACAGGTGAGATTGTGGGACCAGAAAGGAACTGAAGCCGTTGTGAGTCTGCAAGAAAGATATGGCTGTTCCTGTGGTTGAGCTGAGTCAGCTGCCACCAGGGTCAGGAGAGATGGGTAGAGAAAAAAGAACCCTCAGAGGCAAGAAGGCTGGGAAAGATCAGAGGTCTGGGTGACGGCTCTGCCCAGACATCTGCTGGGACCAAGCTGGGGTGGGCAGGCAGTTTCACGTCAAATCAGCAGACGAGAGGTCTTGGGAGGTTCTGGGGAAGAAGGAGGCAAAGGCCAGGCAGGTGAGGTTCCCGTCTCAGAAGCAACAAAGCAGGAAGGTAGTGTAATGAAAACAGAGAGGAAGGATTTAATTCCCAACTCCATGTACTGCAGAACTATAGGAATTAAATGACAACCCTGCACTGAGAATACACCAGCTGATAACAGTGAGAGCAGGGCAGGTGCCCCAGGCCCTGCAGTTTCGGGTACAGCACCCAGGCACACCCAGGAATCCCGGCTCAGGAGCTCCCAGGCCCTCCAGTGGGGCATTGGTCTGAATAAAACACTCGTGCCATGGACCTGGCCTCTGTTTCAAGGAGAGGCTGCACCTGCTCAAATTCACAAACGGGCCCACAGAAGCTGAACAGCAAGCTCTTTTGCCTCCTTGCCTAGAATGGGTGTGTGGATGCCAGCCTCCCTGTGATGTCACAGGACCAGCACCTGGCCAAACGGTGCTTCAGTTTTGCAGGCTTTCATGGCTGAAGCTGCTGACCCAGAGTGGGCATCGTATAAATCAGACGTGTCCTAGAGAGACCAGCTAAGAAGAAATGGGAAAGAGGAGAGTTGCAGGGATGGGAGGCACATCTCGCATTTTGTTAAGATATGGCTACGGATACATCTTTACATTTTCATTAAAAAATCAATAAGTCAATTCATAATTATTGACTTTCATTCCAGTACACCCTTTCCAAAATCTTTTCAGAGAACTGACCTCATTTGGCCCTCGTTGAAGGGACTGCTGGTTTCAGCACTGACAGGTCAACAGCTTGGAAGTTGTCACTCCTTCCCCTACGAGAAGAAAACAACAGAACATACTGAAAATGAATACCTTTTCTTAGGACCCTCGGAAAGTGCAGGTCACAGGGCAAACTGCCTCCCTGAGATCTGGAGTGATGGCTCTATCCTGAGAGCCAAAAGCACCACGAGCTGACTTGGAACAGACGCCATGGCAGCTACACACTGGTAGGGGTATCTCAATGGTCATTTCGACAAACTGCTGAAGGCAGAGTGAGGACGAGTGTGAGAATGAGAAACTCCTCAAGGCCTGTCCAGCCTGGGTGACAGAGCCAGACTCCGTCTCACAAAACAAAAGCAAAAACAAAAACAAAAACAAAAAAGAGGAAGAATCAAAAGGAAATATAGGAAATCAAAAACTTGATGATAACAAAATATCATCAACTGGGCAGCCAGTTTGGTGAGAAATAGGAAATCTATTTCTCACTGTTCCGGAGGCTGGGAAGTCCAAGATGGAGGCATCAACAGATTCCACATCTAGTGAGGGCTTGCTTCCTCATTCACAGATGGCACCTTCTTGCTGCGTCCTCACGTGGTAAAAAGGACAAGGTAGCTGTCTTGAGCTTCCTCTATAGGGTCACAAATTCCATTCACGAGGGCTTCATTCTCATCTTTCAAAGGACCTACCCTCAAATGAAATCGTATTGGGGGATTAGGTTTCAACACGTGAATTTGGAGGGGAAACACCAAAATTAAGGCCATAGCAAAGTAACATATATGTATGATTGAACTATCAGAAGGGGGAAAAAAGATAACAGAGTGGAAATAAATATATGTCTAAAGTCATGATGGCTGAGAACTTTCCAAAATTAATGACAGACTCCCAAACAGATCCAGGGAGCTCTCTGAACTGCAAGTAGGATTTTTAAAAATTACATCTAGGTGTATCACATCCATGTTATATTCAATCAGCAAACCAAAGATAAAGAGAAGAACTTGAAAGAAGCCAGAGAAAAGCATAATACTTTACCTATATGAGGGCAAGAATAAGAATTCAGCAGACTTTGGAGGAGAGTGGAGTGAAATCTTCCCAATATTAAAGTGTTGATGTTTAAAGACCCCAACTCTAATCTCTTTCCCTTTCATGCACCACCAAAGATTCTGGTGTCACCATGGGCCACCACCCCACCCAGTGTTACTGGTATTGTAAGAAGAAGTCTTACCCATTCTTACTTCTGCCAAGGTTTCCCTAATGGCAAGTTTCACCTCTTTGACCTGGGTCGGAAGAAGGCAAAACTGGATGAGTTTCCGCTCTGTGGCCACATGGTGTCAGATGAATATGAGCAGCTGTCCTCGGGAGCCCTGGAGGCTGCCCTATTTGTGCCAGGAAGCACATGGAGAGAGTAAATAATATAGGCCAGAAATTCAGACTCTATAAAGAAAAAAAGAACATTGGAGAAGGGATAAATGAAGGTAAAACAGAATTTTTTTATACTTAATTGATTCAAGAAATAACTGTTCAAAGTAATAGTAACCATTTATTAGATTATTATAATATACGGAATAAGAAAATGGCAAAAGAAATGGGAGGAATTGAGAATATTCTAAGAACCTGCACTACACAAGAAACAGTACAATGTCATTTGAAGGCAGACTTGGGTTAGTTGAAAATGTGTATTGAATACTCTAGAGCAGTCAAATTGGAAAAAAAAAAAAAAACCCTGTATTTTTAAAGGAGTATAATAGGTAAACTGAGAGAGGAGATAAAATTTATTATTATTATTATTATTATTTTAAGGCAGAGTCTCACTCTGCCACCCAGGCTGGAGTGCAGTGGTGCAATCTCAGCTCACTGCAACCTCTGCCTCCTGGGTTCAAGCAATTCTCATGCCTCAGCCTCCTGAGTTGCTGGGATTACAGGCATGTGCCACCACATCCAGATAATTTTTTATGTTTTTAGTAAAGACAGGGTTTCACCATGTTGGCAAGGCTGGTCTCAAACTCCTGACCTGAGGTGATACAGCCACTTTGGCCTCTCCCATAGTGTTAGGATGACAAGCATGAGCCACCACATCAGGACTAAAATAGAATCTTATAAAATGCTCAGTTCAAAGCACAGAAGGCAAAAAAGAGAATTTTTTTAAAAAAGAAACAAAGAATAGGTGTATGTAAAATGCAAACATCACAAACTAGTAAATATTAATAAAATTATGTAAAAATCACTTTAAATGTGAATGGTCTAAATATACCAATTGAAATACAGAGACTGTCAGAGTGGATTAAAAAAAACACAAGACCCAAGTACATGTTATGACAAGAGACCAACTTTACATACAAAGACTCAGCTAGCTTAAAATAAAAGGGATAGAGAATGCTATACCATATTAATACTAACTAAAAGAAAGCTGTAGTCACTTTATGAATTTCTAAAGCAAACTTCTAAACAAACAACCAAAATTTATCAGTGATAAAGAGATATTATATAATGATAAAAGCATCAATTCTTCAAGAAGACATAACGATCTTAAAAGTGTGTGTACCTAACGACAGAGTGTCAAAATACTTCAGGGAAAGAAAAGGAAAGAAGAAATGGACAAATCCTCTATTACACTGGAAGACTTCAACAGCCCTCTGCCAGCAACTGATAGATCAAGCAAGCAGAAAATCATTAAAGGTAAAGTTGACCTGAGCAGCACTATTAATCAACTAGATCTCATTGACATTTATAGAACATTTCATCCAACAATAGCAGAATACACATTCCTTTCAAGTTCACATTCGGTAGTCACAAAGATAGGCCACATTCCAGGCCATGAACACACCTCAAAGGTTAGGAATCATACAAAATATGTTATCAGAAGACAAAGGGCTTACACTGGAAACCACCAGCAGAAAGATAGCGGAAAGATGCTGAAATATTTAAAGATTAAATAATACTCTTCTAAATAACATGTAAGCCAAGGAAGAAATTATAAACAAACTTTAAAACAATTTTGAACTAAATAAAAATAAGATAACATCAAAACTTGTGGGATACAGTAAAATCGGGGATTAAAAGGAAACGCATAGGATTAAATGCATATCGTAGAAATTAAGAAAGATCTAAAATCAATAATCTAAGCTCCAACATGAAGAAGCTAGAGAAAGGACTACAACTGAAGCTATAAAGCAAGAACAAGAAAAGAAATAATTTTAAACATAGAGCAGAAGTCAATGGAATTGAACTAGAAAAGCAACAGAGAAAATCAATAAAATTAAAAGTTGGTTCTTGGAAAAGTTTTGTAAAATTGACAAACTTCTAATCAGGCTCACCAAGAAAAAGAGAAGACATAAATTGCCGGTGTCATAGAAGAAATAGTGGTCATTACTACTAAACCCAGGGACATTAAAATGGAAACAAAGGAGATATAAACAACTCCATCTCCACACATCTGATCTTTTAGATAAAATGAACTGATTTCTTGAAAGACACAAATCACCAAAATCCATACAATGAGAATTAGACCATTTGAATAGGTATATAGCTATTAAATAAATTAAATCAATAATGAACAACCTTTCAACAACAATAACAACAGCAATGACAAGAAACAAAGCCCAGATAATGTCATTGGTGAATTCTACCAAACCTTTAAGGAAGCCGTGATACTAATTATCTACTGACATAGTTGATATATGTCCCTACCCAAATCTCATACTGAAATATAATCTCCAGAGTTGGAGGTGGAGACTGGTGGGAGGTGATTGGATCATGGGGGCAGATTCTTCAACGAGTAGTTTAGCACCATCCCTCTAGGTACTGTCCTCATGATAGTGACTGAATGAGTTCTCATGAGATCTCGTCTCGCTTTCTCTTGCTCCTGCTTTTGCCATGTGGTAAGTCTGCTCCCTGTTTGCTCTCTGCCATGACTGGAAGCTTCCTGAGGGCTCCTGAGAAGCAGATGCTGCCATGCTTTCTGTATGGCCTGTAGAACCATGAGCCAATTAAACTTCTTTTCTTATTGATATAAATTATAAACTATCCCATATTGGTATTTCTTTAAACAACGTGAGAATGAACTAATATGGCTACAAATATTCCTCTTCTGGAACAGAGGGAAGAAATCTTAACTAATTCTCTGAGGCCAGTCTTACAGTAATATCAAAACCAGAAAAAGATGTAACAAGGAGAAAAACTGCAGAGCAAAATATCTTATAACCAAACTACTTAACAAAATAATAGCAAGTCAAATTCAACAATGCATAAAGTAATTGTGCAATGTGACTGACTGGGATTTATCCCAGGTACGCAAGACTGGTTCAACATTTAAAAATCAGTAAGTGCAACTGATTATATCAACTGTCTATACAAGAAAATTCATGTGATATTTATTAGTGCTAAATTCGCCAAATTCCAACACCTTTTCATGACAAAAACTCTCAGCAAACTAGGAATAGAGAGAACTTCCTCAATTTAATAAAGAATATCTTTAAAAAAAATTATGGCTAATATAACACAGTGGTGAGAAATTGAATGCTTTCTCCATATGATTGGAAATAAGGCAAAAATAAGAGAAAGTCTTCTCTTTACATTCTTATTCAATATCACCCTGAAAATCCTAGCTAGTGCAGAAAGATGAGTAAAGGAAAAAAAAGTGAGTATATATATCTGAAAGGAAAACATGAAACTGTCTTTATTCATAGGTGACATGACATTATTAATATAGAAAATCCTAAAGAATCGACAAAAATACTCTTGAAACTAATAAGCAATTATAGCAAGGCCAGGGATAACAGATTAATACACAAAAGTCAGCTGCTTTCCTATATACCAACAATAAACAGCTGTAATTTGAAATTTAAAAAATAATATCATTTACAATAGCACAATATATAGGTAAATAGAAATACAGAGGTATATAACTCACAAAATATATATAGGATCTGTATGAGAAAAACTATATAACACAGATGAATAAATCAAGTATCTAAATAAAGGAATAAATACTTTGTGTTCATGGATTGCAAGATTCAATGTTGTTAAGATAACAATTTTTCTCAAATTGACCTAAAGATTCAACACAATCCTTATCAAAATCCCAGGAAACTATTTTGTAGATGTTGACAAACTGATAAAGTTTATATGGAAAGGAAAAAGGGATATAATCATCAATACAACACTGAAGAATAGCAAAGTTGGAGGGCTTCTACTTGATTTCAAAACTTACTTTAAAGCTACAATAATTTTTTTTTAAAAAGTGTTTTATTGGCAAAAGAATAGACTCCTCGATCAATGGAACAGAATAAGGAGTTCACAGAAATATAGTCAATTGATCTTTGACAAAAGAGCAAAGGTAATTTAATATAGAAAAGATCATCTCTTCAACAAATTGTGCTGTAACAATTGGAAGTCCATATTAAAATAAAATAAACCTAGACACAGACTTTGAAGCTTTCACAAAAATTAACTAAAAAGGGATGATAGATCTAAATGTAAAATTCAAAACTCTTGACATAGGAAGAAGAAAAATACATAGAAAGACATGGAAGAGGAGGAGGAGGAGAAACGGGCCTAGGAAAAATTATATGAGACTTTACATTTGGAGATGTGTTTTTAGATACAACACCAAAAACACAATCTAGAAAAAAATTTTAAGTTGGAGCTTATTAAAACTAAAAACTTCTACCATATTAAACACAATGTTAAGAGAAGCCGCACACTAGGAGAAAATATTTGTAAAACACAATTTGATAAAGGATGTGTGCCAAAATTTTTATAAAATATGCTTAGAACTCAACAATAAGAAAACAAGAAGCCCAATTCAAAAACGGGTAAAATATCTAAGCAGACACATCGTGAAATAAATTGGGCTATGGCAAATAAGCAAAGAAAAAGATGCCCTAGACCATCTGTCATTAGAAAGCTGCAAATTAAAACAACTATGTGAACCATGACACATTTATATCAGAATGGCTAAAATTTAAAAAAATGACAATACCCACTGCGGGCAAAGGTGGGAGTAACACAAACTCACATATTACTCTGAGTGATTGTACTCGTTACAATGTAAAATGGTGGAACCACTTTGGAAGACAGTTTGGAAGTTTCTTCCAAAACTAAACACAATCTTACCATCTGATCCAGCAAATATGCTCCTGTTTACCCAACTGATTTGAAAATTTATGTCTACAAACAAACAAACAAGAAATACTCATGCAAATGTTTACCGCAGCCATGTTTACAACCACCCAAAACTGGAAGTAAATAAGATAGCCTTCAATAGGGGAAGTGATGGGCAAAATACAGTTCGTCTATTCAATACCATATTATTAGCAATAGCATAGAAGATGGACTCTCAAGCTGCAAAAAGACATATACAGCTCAAATGCATATTGCTGAATAAAAGTCAGTTTAAAAAGCATCCATATTGTATGACTCCAGTTATGTGGCAT